ATTTAAAAGTATTTTAACAATTTCGTGTTATAAGAAGCATACTTAAGGATAGTACAAAATATATTTTATAATTATGTGTTATACTCTCGTAATATATTGGGCGTTCCGTGCAAAGAGAAATCCAAATGCCTTCTTATACGAACATAATTCGTTTATGGAAAAAAGTCTGCGGATGATTCAAGAGATTCCGGACCCACTTCGTATGCACAGATGGAAAGTATCAAGTCCAACCATAGAAAGCATTAGGGATATAATGAGAGAATGTGTGCAAAGCGAGTTCAGAATCCAATGACCCATTTGTTCGTTCAAGCTATTTCTTTACATATTCCAACAGAATTTCTGCGGCTTCCTGCAGGGCATTTTCTCGGGGGTACTGTGATTAACATAAACACCGCGAGTTCTGTGTCCAAGCATTCGACTTGTAATGTAGTTTCATTCACGCTCAAGGTTTCCGAGGAGTTGCAAGGATGTCCCACTTTGTTTAAAGTATAGCAGCTGTCGTTGTACATTACCAAACCGTTTGTCGAGCAAGGGTTTTTCACACAATGCGGTATAAGCTCATCGTTAGGAAACACGTATTCTCCCTGTTTACAGGGTCCTTGAAAATAAACTTCATAGCATTTATCGTCCATCGGGAAATGAAAAAATTTCGGTTTACAATCGCAAATTTTGTCAGTTGCATTTCCGTAATTTTGCATACCATCGGGACATCCGTCTGATGACAACGGAGGCTTCGTTGTCTAAAACAATGATCAACAAATTTGCCATTATTATTAGACGCGTTGCTCCTTCATGTTACTTTGCACATTGACTAGAGTATAATTACCGTTGACGTCGTACCATCCACGCTGACAGTGTGAGGTATCTGTTTGTCGTCAGGAAATAGAATATCCTGGCCTATACAATTATATATTGTTAATGCGATACCGAAAATCACCCACTTCATGTTCGTCGTCATGACCGTCTTCAAATTAAATCGGTAGAAATATTAAATTTTCTACAAATATTCAACAGCACATTATAGAAACCTCGATTTATTGTTACCACTCACTTACATCATCAAGTAGCTTTTTAATTGGTCTGAGTAACTAAAGATACTGATGACAGTGTATAGATGCTTCACCATGTTTCTTTGTGACCTGACGTGACCCTCAATTCTCAAGGTCAACCATACTCGGATAAAATAAGAGAATCACGATTAATAGCCAATCATAGTGAAGCATTCTCTGTTAATTGAACTTTTTACTCCCACTACTTAAATTTAATACATAGTTGTATAAGGAAACGACGTTTAATTCGAATTGATGATCTTTGATACATTTGATAAACATGTACAGATTTACTAACAATGTTTGCGTTATATCGATATTCATTCACATTCCTCCATGTAAGGATCATATGTTTTTTTGATCTCGTTGGCGCTCAACAAAAATGAGCTATCTTTGAATTCAGGCCAAGATTTGAACTCTATAAAGAGATCAAAGACCTGACTAGGGCTCAAGTGGCCGAATTCAGTAAATATATTATAATTCTTTTCTATCAATCGTAGACCACAATCTGGTACTATTTTTCTGTAAGAATTCTCAATTAGTAATGAGGAAAGTATTTTTTTTTACACCATCAGTACTCACTCTAATGCAGGAATCACTCTTAACGATGGTTTATAAAAGTGATGTCTCACAAAATGCCAAAAGTATATTAGACTGTCCTTTCCATCAAATAATTTAAGGAGGTCAGCCTTCGGTTCTAACTTGACGACATAGAGCATCTCACTATCAGTTTTTCGTCCTTTATTATTGTTCACCTTTTTCTTTTTTCTCAAACATGGAATAAATCCTCTCCTGTCTATCGTACCAAATATTTTGTAATCCAATAATATATTAAACATGATACAGTTGGTCGAAGCCTTTTTACCATTGTACATAAACGTCTAAAAATAGAGCAACTTAACAGTCAGACAGCTAAAGAGAAGAAGAGTTTTCTCAATTCTAATACTAACGTTCCATACAGAAGGTGATAGGGCAAGGTAAAAGATCGGTCTTCCATACATCATAAAGCCTGTCTGGAATATTATGCTTATTATTAAATGCCTTACAAATAAATGTTTAGTCGTTGTCCCAATTATTTGCATACAACTTTCATCGTCCCATTTTCGTCTTGGTATATCACCCAAAAGTTCGCATATGTTTGTATGAGGTTTCTCTTTAATATTTAAATTCAACATTTTAGACATGGTAAAGAGGTTTCCCCTCTTTATTTTAAGTCGGCCGGGGTACGCGTTACTTAAATTGTTTAACGTGGAATGAAATTCATTGTATTTCTCATACAGATTTATGAATGGTACACCAGCTTGCAGCAAGCTTTCGGTCAGTACGCCGAACCCTGGATTTAATTCAATTACATGAGATACACTCTCAAGTAAATCGTCTTTAATTAATGCAACGAAATCATTGCCTATTTCTCGGCTTATTAAATACGGGTCGGTATTATTTATGCTCGTGACCGTAAAGTAATTCTCCAAAATCTTGTCTTTGAATTTTGGGGTAACGTTGGTTAAATATTCATAGAATATCGAAGGAATATTTTCATGTTTCATCGTGCTCGCTTCGATGTCATTATTATCTATCGATTCTATTTGTTGATAAGGCAACTGCATAAAATTCGAGTACGAAATACGTTTATTTATTACACAAAAGATGACACGATTCTGCGATTTGGTTATCGGCGATAAACAAGTAATTGGTAATGCCATTAGCTGTTTACGTAACATAATCACGTTTGTTACTCCGTCCAACAGTAATCGTTAAATTATTAAGCGTATGCTCTTCGAGATCACGCGTGTACGCACATTACATTTTACTGCGGGACTCACGAATTACTTAATCGCGTTGTATACGTACAGAGCGTGACACCCAAAAGTAATAAATGACAGCTTTATTCGCTATTGTCTTTTGAATGTATTTTTGGCGGGCAGTTACATACTTAAAACCTGTACGGATTAACAATATCGTTTAAGATAACAATAGATATTTACAGAATGATATGCATCATTGGTAATTCAGTCGAGTTCGTAAGTTCTTTCATTATTCTTTTTTTCATTGTTGAATTACGTTGACGATCATTTGTCTCTTTTCCAACCTAGGACTCGCTAATAATCGAATTAAATAATACGAACTGCTGTTCGATGGATGCATGGAATCAAGAATTGATTTAAAAATTCTGATAAACCTGTTAGAACGTTTTACACTTTCTTGTGGGTTACCTAATGTATCCTTGAGGAACGCGCATACTTTCTAAGCTTTTTTTAACATTTTTATCACCGAATATAAGTGGCATAATTAGCCACAGGTTTCAAAGGCATCGTGTCTGTTGAGGTTCAATGTGAACAATTTGTTTGAAAACCAAGTGAGAAAAATGGCGCAAAGTGCTTGTCTGTTGTCCAGAATAGTGGCTTCTTCTATAACTGCTACTGTGAGGGCAGGTAAAATTATCAGAGACGTTATGACTCATGGTGGGCTAAATATAGTAGAAAAGGGCAAAAACGATTTACAAACTGAAGCCGACCGTTGTGCCCAAAGGTGTATCATTGCCTCGCTAAGTCAGCAGTTTCCGAATATTACTATCATTGGCGAGGAAGAACCGTCAAATTGCGAGGTACCATCCGACTGGGTTGTAACTGAGGCAGACCAAGAAGTGTTGAAACTAAAACTGCCTGCTCATTTGGAGGATATCGATCCCAAAGATGTGTGCATTTGGGTAGACCCATTGGATGGAACATCTGAATATACTCAGGGCCTCGTAGAGCATGTCACAGTCTTAGTAGGAGTGGCAGTTGGGCAAAGAGCGGTCGGAGGTGTGATTCATCAACCGTATTATAAAAATAATACGGATAACGTCTTGGGACGTACTCTTTGGGGTATAGTCGGCGTGGGGTATGGTGGATTTGCACCAAGCGCACCACCAGAGGGAAAAAGGATTGTTACGACTACTCGTTCGCATTCCGATAGCAACGTCCAAGCAGCTATAACTGCTTTGTCTCCGGACGAAATTTTACGAGTGGGCGGGGCGGGATTTAAGGTATATATGAATCAGACGTTTGTTTAAGTCAGTTCATTATTTCAATTTATTTTCGATAGGTTATACTTTTATTGGAGGGCAAGGCTCATGCTTATGTGTTCGCCAGTAAAGGGTGCAAAAGGTGGGACACGTGTGCTCCTGAGGCTGTCCTCCACGCTGTTGGTGGTACATTAACTGATTTTTACGGGGAACAATATCCATATAACGCGGAAACTACATTTTCAAATGAAAAGGGCGTGCTGGCCACTGCCCCTGGTCAAATTCACCAATGGTATTTGAATCACATACCGTATGAAGTGAAGCAAAAAGTAGGAAAATAGTATAATTGGATGACAAACGATTCTTCATATATTTGCATGTAATGTTAAAATATCTGGAGCATGTGACTAGAGTAAACTAAAATTGATTCTCATTCGAAGATATGTTTCGATATAAAACTTGATCGAGTTTCTTCAAAATAAATGTAAATAGAATAAAATACTTTTTATAATTTTGGTTTGAGCGTGTCGCGAAGTGTTCGGCGAAGGATTTTTCCCGACGCCGTTTTCGGGATGTCCTTAACGAATTTGATGCCTCCGCGAAGTCGTTTATGACTCGATACACGTTCTGAAACAGATATCAGACATTACAGATAAATTCGTTTGTGAAACGATTAGGAGTTTCCAAATTTTCCTGGCTGTTGTATGATACGTATGTGGTAATATCTCGTGAACCGCCCTGTATTTTAAGATCGCAGATGATTTGACATCACGGGCCACATTTCTAGGATTTGCGAGTTTGATAACTCCTGGACTAGATAAAGTACTTACCATTGACAAAGTTCGCAACATCCTCAGCCGTTAGAGTAGAATCTTCTTGTTTAACGACGAAGGCAGTCGGCAGTTCTCCCGCCTCTTCGTGCGGCTGTCCAACAACCGCCGCGTCTTGAATCCCAGGACACGTTAGTAATATTGCTTCTAGTTCAGCTGGTGGCACTTGGTATCCCTTATACTTGATAAGTTCTTTCATTCGATCAACTACATAGAAATAACCCTCCTCGTCGTAGTATCCTATATCACCGGAATGGAACCATCCGTCCTTGTCGATACATGCCGTTGTCGCCTCTTCATTGTCGCAGTATCCTTTCATGATAACGTTTCCTTTGAAACATAATTCTCCCACACAATTTGGTCCCAGAGGTTTATTTGATTCACCTTCGTCGATCGGTATTACTTTTGCTGAATATAAAATATGAAATGAGAATTTGGAAGGAAAAAATAGATTTTGATCCTTACCTGATACTCCTGGAACTAACTTTCCTACACTCCCATACTTCGTACTACCAATCGGCGACTTGAGTACAGCTAAAGTAGTTTCCGTCAATCCGTATCCTTGTTTTATCGTCGGTATATTTAATCTTTTTGCGACCATCTTCGCGATATCTTCGGATAAAGGCGCAGCCCCGCACCTTATTAAGCAAAAATTATTAAATCAAATTTAAGCAATTTACTTTGATTCAACACATAGAAAATCGCGCTTACCAAACTTCTTTAATGCTAGACAAATCGTATTTGTCTACAATGGGATGTTTCGCTAGGAATACCATCAGCGGTGGTACGAGAGTTATATTTTCAATTTTATACTTTTCTATACTACGTAGGAACATCTTTTCATCGAAACGCGACAGAATCACGTTCTTATTACCGAAAACTAGTCTTGCTAGTATCATGGAAAAAGAATACGCGTGGAAAAATGGTAACAAAGCTAAGCACGTTACATTGGCACACATATTGTGCGGTTGCGCAGCTCCAATATTTTGTATCACGGCCAAGAAGTTTTTATCTGTCAACATTACGCCTTTCGGTAAACCTGTAGTACCGCTGGAACATGAAATAACTGCTACGTGATTGTTTACGTCTACCGAGCAGGCTTTAAAGTTATCAGGAATTGTTATATCTGATATCAGACTGTTGATTGATGACAGTTTATTGTCTTTGGACTCTGTTAACATGATCAATTTTGAGAGCCAGTCTAATTGAGGTGCAACGTTCTGCACAGTCTTCGCTCCAATAACCGAGGCGAAGATGTACTTTGGTTTAGATATACTCAATGCATGTTTCAACTCCCTTTCTGTGTAAAGAGGGTTCAATGGGCAAACGGTGACACCCAAGTAAAATGCAGCACAAACTACTATGCTAAATTCTAGATTGTTTTCACTGCATATAGCTACACGGTCATCCTTTCTTAATCCCTCTTTGTCAAGAGCAATGGCCAATCTTTGGCTGATATCTAATATATCTTTAAACGTATGTGTTTTTCGTGTATATGCGTCTATCTAAAAGATTCACACTTTTCATGAATGTACAGAACATCTTGCATTATTGTTTATACAGGGTGTTTCCGGATTAAACCATCAAACTGGACCAGGATGTTTTATGAATAAAAATGCAAAGTCTGCAAACACACTATATTGAAAAGAAGTTTACGTTTTTATTTCATCTCTTGTTCGAATACAAGCTTGAAATTCTTCCTATCAGTTCTTACTGCGAATTGTCATTTTAGAACTGATACTAATTTGTTTACTCATCATGACAGTACAGATATTTCCATAATTCCAATGTCAAACGAACTTGTTATTAACTTTAGATTTTATGTTTTTATTATGACTTTTTTATAAAACATTTCCAGACCCACATTTATATAACATTTTCATTTTCCCATTTTTTCTTGTAGAACATGCTGGTACAATTTAATCATTTAATCTCGGGACATCTTATATATTATGTTATGTTAAAATGAGATGATTTACCTGTGCTACCCAGCCACTGTGGACTCTTATTTGATTCAGGATCAATTGTCCCAATGATATATTCTTAAATTCTATTAAAGACACTGTTGGTCCATGCAAAATGTTTGTATCTTGCATATTGATTATATTTGTCTGACGCTTAACTAATCGTCAAGAATTGATTGAATTTTACTCACTTGATTAAGGTAGAAAAGTAATAAATACGACCTTCGAATGAAATGAATTAGATCTGTTCTTCTTAGATACTTCTATGCTTATTCGGAATGTACTTTTTAGCGGAAGACATGAAAAATATTCACCACTTTATTGACTGCTTCTTTGTCTACTGTCTGCTGTCAACTTAACAAGTTAAACGATGCCGAACGAATGCCGGTACTGATAAAATAGAGACGTAACAACAGTATGGCGCCCGTATCGTCGCACTCGAAAGACGCGCGAGTCGTCAGATTTGACATCAGTATTCTCAGTTTAATTCCTTTATTTCCAATTAACTCCGGATGCACATTGCGACGCCAGCACGCTGCAACTCGTGGAGTGTTGCCAACGGCCATTCTCAATCCTAGAACTCCACAAGCCAATATTCTGTCAGACTGCCGTCATTTTCACAGGTAGTTCTTGAAGTGCCTAAAGTGTAATTTTATTACTCGTACATACGTTAAAATCCTCAAGATGTCTTAGCCACGATACGTTTCATAAACATCATGTGATATTGCTACTGTATGTTATGAATTCTCGCAACTACAATTGTTGATCCTTTTTGTTCTCTAAGAATATATAAGTAAATGATAAACAAGTATTCTAAAACGATGTTGATTTTTAATTAGGTCTTGGGATGATAAATTCGAGAAGTCGCCAATTTTTGCGAACTGGAAACGACAAGTACAGCAGTGAGCCTTGCTGTGGTTAAGTCACTCGAAATAGGATACATATGGTCTGGGTTGCGAACGACTGGTCGAATTACAATTACAAATATTTGTGTACATATATATACAAATTGCATTTTACATTATATTTATCGATTTATAATGCCACGGCGGTGTTGTGTTCCCAATTGTAAGGGAAATTATGATAGTATTTTAAGAGACAAGAGCTACCTGTCCATATTTTTATTGCCTAAAAACGAAGAACTGCGCAAAAAATGGATTGCTGCTATTCCTCGTAAGAATTGGACACCAACAAAATATTCTGCCGTTTGTAGTCTACATTTTGCAGAAACCGATATCCAAAAATATCAAGCTGTTTTATCTCCTAATGGTGTACTGGAGAACGTTTTGTTGAGATGTCCAAAGCTTACTGAGGATGCAGTACCTTCTATTTTTCCCAGTTGCCCTCGTTACTCATCAAAACGAGCAGTAAAAAAGAAGGAAGATCCCGAAGAGCGTAACCAAATTATAATTGAAAATCAGGAAAATGTGATACAAGAATCTATTGATTCAGATATAATTCACGATTTTGCTGATTTAATAAATGACCATAAGAACAAACTTGTAATTTCAGACAGCTGGAGCGTTAGAATGTCAAATTCCAAAATTTACTTTTGTATGCTAGCATGTGATGATAATTCGGACTTCTTGACCCTTTATACACAGATTGTGATTAGTAGCGACATGAATGTACAAGTACTTTATAACGGTAACAATTTATCTTCGCATGATTTACATTGGGTATTGCCTTTAAATAGAATCATTTCTAGATGGTCTGAATTACAAAATTTACTAAGTAGATACAGTACAATAGATCACAGAATAGATTCTGGCACTAATATATATCTTATTAAAAGCCATATCGAAAAATCTCTTGATCAACTCAATAAGGCATATATTATTGTAGAATCAATTGATATTGATCATGCAAAAAGTCTTACGTGTGAATAAAATATCTACTCTATCTATAGGCATGTGTACATCTTGAATGTAAGATATAATATAAAGTATTAATAAATATGTATGTAAGATATATAAGGTTTGAACATTAGCACCAAAGCAGATTTAGCTTTCTCATATATAGAATTAGCTTTTTTATAATTTCTAAAATCAATTAAACCTTCGTATGATAGCTTCGATCGATAGAAGAATTTATTTACACAGATTCTCTTAACGAAATTTCATTTAATAAAAGTAGACCGTGTTTTCAAAAAGTATCCTTCATATCTAAATGTTTTTTAAATGGTTTAAAAAAATTATCGTCAAATTCACAAATTTAAATCAAATTTATAACTCTCGGTTGTGCATGCGTAAAAGTTCTGCGTTCTACGCATGTGCGTTCCTACAAGCCGCAACGAGGCCGACGTGATAGTGTCATCAAATTTTTGTGATTTTATCACATAATGGGACGTTACTCTCAAGAACCGGTAAACGCGGCGAAATCGTGCAAAGCACGAGGTTCCAGCCTGCGAGTACACTTCAAGGTAAATAAACGATGCAACATATAAATTTTAATAAATCTAACCCTAAACTTCTCGACATATGCTAAGAAAGGGTATTGGGACTGTATGTTTATTAATTCGATGAAATTCATTGGGTTTTGTACTGTAGAACACACATGAAACAGCACGAGCTATTAAGAATTTGTCTCTGCGAAGAGCACAGAAATATTTGAAAAACGTGATCGAGCATAAGGAATGTGTCCCATTCCGGAGATTCAATGGTGGTGTTGGTAGATGTGCTCAAGCTAAACAGTTTGGCACTACACAAGGTAAGTCACCCTACTTAATAAAGAATAACATGCTCTCAAGTTTTTTGTTGGAGACAGTTTAATGATTGATTAATAAATGTCTTTAATTTTCCATGTTTAGGTCGTTGGCCCAAAAAATCTGCAGAATTTTTACTGCAACTATTGAAAAATGCTGAAAGCAATGCTGACGTTGATGGCCTAGACCTTGACCGTCTTGTGATCAATCATATTCAAGTAAACCAAGCTCCATGTTTACGCAGAAGAACATACAGAGCTCACGGACGCATTAATCGTCAGTATTTATAAAAATAATCGTACAACAACTCAGCTTTGAATTTTGCAGTTTAACTAATTTGTACATGTTCTTTTAGCGTACATGAGCTCGCCTTGTCACATTGAGGTAATTCTAACTGAAAAGGAAGATTTCGTGGTAAAAAGCCCAGAAGAAGAGCCATCGAAAAAGAAACTTAGCAAGAAGAAGCTTGCTAGACAGAAGGAAAAGATGATGAGAGAATAATTTTAAATTATAACTGAATATTGCACCACAAAACAGACGGCGTTCAAAATCACTGACCGTGATTTTTCACGGTAATCACAAAATCACGATCACGACTGGTGATTGAGTATAATCACGACCGTGATCGTGATTTTCTATAGTAGCCTTGCTATAATCGTGATATTCATATCCATTTCATAGCTGCTAAAATAACCTGAAATACCTTTTAAAACAATTACTACTTAGTTTAGAAAACGGGTAAAAAGTGTATAAGAGAAATTATAAGAAGTATGTTTGTACAATTGTACATTTGTATAATTTGTATTTTACTACGTCGAAATGAAGGAAATAATAAATTTTCTTAGTTCATTTTTACTTGTTCATTTCTTTATCCATCTATTTATTGTTTATTCACATACACAGTATTTGAAACAGAATGATATTTGTTGTTTTATAATAGAGAAGAAATATTTTTGTTTAACAATAAGAGGATGTATCTATCATTAGAAAAAATATTTTTTTCACAATACAAAATAAAATTAATTAATGTACGATTAGGATGCGTAACAAGGGGCCGCTTCTGAGTGCGACGATACTGATACTGCTATCTACAGTACAAAATTTAGACTTCGAGTGAACTTCAATGTTTACTGTTTCGTTTCGAATGTCACGTAGAATACTTGAAATACAGATTAATGAAATACATAATCGCTAAATATACTTTGCATATATTAGGAAAGGGCGTAATAAGATTTTGCTGTATTTATATACTATAAGGTACCGTTCAGTTAAATCGAAGGTATCGAATAATTCTAACCTTAAGCTCAAACTGTTCTACAATAAACGTCAGGCAGTATTTAACAATAAAATTCTCAAATGTTTTCTAATAATTAAATCTCAGATTGAAAGCTGGTTTATCTATTAATTTTGTAAACTAACAGAGTGTGTAATAGAGTATCTTTTAGTATCCTGTTTACCGAAGTGGGGTTATCATATTATTACGAATAATGCATTGTTCTTTAACATTCGATACAAATGTCATAGTTCTTGTTTAGCTTGCGTCTTTATATTCTTAGTATATACGTATTTTTATTAAATATCCGTTCACAGAAGTTAAAAGGAAATATGATAACTTTAAGAGGGAAACTGAAGAAGGATGGCGAAATAGCAAACTCGAAAACGAGAGATTACACGAAACGTGTTTCAGTCCGTGATAAATTGTTAATTAAAGAGGTACGATGATTAATCTTTAAAAACTGCTGACTCTTATTTAAGAAACTTCTTTCTCCAATTATTTAGGTGCAAGAAATGGAACAAACTTTGCCTAGTACATGTCAAGTAAAGTTTCCTGATCCTCATTGTTTACACGAGTTTAGTCTAACAATTGTCCCTGACGAAGGATATTGGATGGGTGGTCGATTTTATTTTCAGATTTATATACCTGAAGAATATAACATGGCTGTAAGTATTATACTGGGCGAGGCATGTAATATTGGTTTTTAAAACATATTAAATAATTTTAGTGTACTTTTTCCCTTATATTTATATCATGTGATTTCTTCTTTACTACATTATGTAACTTCATATCAATAAGTTTCAATTTTGTTAATAAATTTTATCCGTAATCAATGGGATCTTGATATTGCTGATTAGTCGCCAGTGTATATTCGGACCCCTTGATCGTCATTGACTTCCTTTAAAATTTTATCAACCCTGATGGAAATCCTTGATGTAACCTCTGTGGAAATAATTTTTACACAACGCATAGTGTAGAAATGCCTCACTATGCATAAGTACCTCATAAGTGCCTCATGTTGTATTAATCATAGCCTACTTATAACTGGTACGATATTTTCAGCCACCTAAAGTTAAATGCTTAACAAAGTTATGGCATCCTAATATTAGCGAGGATGGTAACGTGTGTCTTTCAATTTTGAGACAGAGCAGTATAGATGAAATGGGATGGGCACCTACTCGTAAGCTGAAAGATGTTGTATGGGGCTTAAACTCTCTCTTCACCGTAAGCATTCGATGATCAGATCCCGAAACAGTTTTCGGATTGCCTTACTTAATCGAACTCTTTTCAGGATTTATTAAATTTCGATGATCCATTGAACAGAGAAGCTGCCGATCTATTTATAAAAGACAAGGAATGCTTTCGAAATAAGGTCAAAGACTATGTCATACAGTATGCAAAAAGATGATTCAAATCAATGAATAATGCTATAACAACGTAATTGTATATTAAATTCTGAATTTAGCTTTTTTTTTATTTCGATGATCATTTCAAATTTGATTACGTGCGTTTTCAAAATAATTCGGTGATCGATCAACTTCTATATCATATCATTTGCTACTAGTCTTCTTATTCTAGGGAGATTTTATTTGTTATTTTCTATTTCATTACTCGTGCGCAATTTTTGGAGTGCTCTACGATACTTTGTTGTTAAATGAGTGAGAGGAGAAAAAGAGGGAGTCTCGTGTACAATATACTTATCCTTTTTATAGAGCATTGTAATGACGACAGATCATAATTTGTAAATAAAGCCGATATTTAATAATAAAGCCTTGTTATAGTTATTTAATATTTTATTTCGTTATTATATAACCATCGCTTTTGTACAATTTCAAAGGTTCCGATTTGTACCTTGACTTGTTTAAAATCTGATTTATCCAGCGTTATATTTCAATACTCATTATCCTATCCCTCGTTCCTTATCGGTACGTCTGTGGCGTAACGTACATATGAGCGGCTGATGATGTCTCGTTAAAACAATCGACAGTAACAAATAAATAATAACAAAAGAGAGAACAAGGAAAGGTTTTTACGATTCTCCATTGTTTTTCGGTTACTCTTCCTTGTCCTTCGAGAGACTGACTAGACACGCGGAACGTTACGGTCGCGTGAAGAAAATTGGAAAATCATCGGCTTAATTAAAGTAGCTTTATTCATTAAAACGTGGTGAGCAGCTCTTCTTGTATGCTAGTCGATCTAATTAATTTCTGCGTAGACCCAAACAGACTCTCGGTCGCCAGACTTTGCTGATCGGACGCTATTTTAGCTTTTTCCTCGTGGTATTCCTCGTTATATTCTTTCAGCCTGTTACCCAGAAACACGGCCCTCTCGCGTTTCTTGATCATGAAGTCCGAGAGCTGTAGCCATCTGTGTTCGTGGCATTCCTCCACCAATGGTCTTTTACTGAAAAGAAGAGGAAACAGATAACATCCCTGTTACAGGGAACTCATAATTTATCCCGCACGGCACGCTTCCCCTCTTTTTCGCCCGTTTTTCGATCCCCACTACTATTCTCTTCATGCGCCATCGCTGACCATGCCTAGCATACCTCCATCAAGTACCAGTCCCAACCAGAGATCGTATAATTTTTTCCGCACGGCTCGCTTCCCCTCTTTTTCGCCCGTATTTCGATCCCCACTACTATTCTCTTCATGCGCCTTCGCTGACCATGCCTAACATACCCCCATCAAGTACCAGTCCCCACCATATTCGCGTCGTCCCCGCTTTCCGGCCAAGGGACAAATTATACGATCCGTGGTCCCAACCATGGTCGCGTCGCCCCCACTTTCCGGCCGAGGGACAAATTATACGATCCCTGCCTGTTAGTCAAGCCTACATTGTCAGATTTCGTCCATTGCCTATTTATCAGATTCTTGAATCAGAATAACTATAGATTTAAAGCAGGATGTACAAATCGAACGAATCGTAGCGCGTAAGAACATTGCTATCCGCAATTTCGCTTTGTCCGCATTTAGGAAGCAGTGCTTGCTGTTCAAATTTTGAAGCAAACTGGAAGCACATAGGAAGTAGATCCTGCAGTCAATCTGCAACGATCTTCACGATTCAATTCATTTTACATTAAAAGGAGCGCCTGAGTTGCAGACCGCAAGATCTGCTGTCAATCTTGCATCTCTTTCAAGATTCTGACAACGGAGGCTCCTCTGTTTCCAAAATCGAAGCCAAATGCGGACACAGTTGCGGATCTCGGAACAGATCTATATTAAAAAATAGAAATTATACGTACTGCGGTGCCCGTTTGAAGATCAACATAAAGAACCTGGTCGCCTCCTGACTCAATTCCTTGAATAGATACTCGAATCTGTATCTGACGAACAGAATGTTCTGTCTCGTTTCGTCAGGGTCCTTCCCACGGAACGGCGAGATACCAGACAGTAGGACGTACATAAGAACACCGACCATCCATACGTCCGTTTGAGGATGGGCCGGTTCTTCGTTCCACACTTCCGGTGCTCTGTACTCCGGATGGCCAGCCTTCGGCACCGAGGTGCCCAATTTGTTGACGAGCCTCGCTGCACCCATGTCGACCAGTTTCACCTGGACAGATCTGACAGTGGACATCACTACATTGTCGGGTTGAATGTCCAGATGACAGTATCCTCGCCAGTGGAGATATTGAAGACCGTCCAATATCTGCGAGATGGCCACAGCCACGCAATTCTCCGTGTACTCGTGCCGACTTGAAAAGTACGTGAGGATGTCGGCACCCTGAAGCTTTTCCAAGATGAATACCGCGATCGGCGATCCCTGCGACTTGTATGCCGCCTCTAACAACACTATTCTCTCGTGTCTCAACGAGCGTAGCGCGTCGAATTCTCTGTTCACCTGTTTCTCCGTCTCTGTGTTTAGCTCCATGATCTTGGCGACTATTACGCGGTCTGTGCTTTTGTCGACGCCCTTCGCTACAACGGAGAATTGACCGCGCCAGATCTCGGATATGAAGCTGTACTTGCTGGTGAGATTCGTCTCTGTGCTCCACTCGAACGGGTGCTCCTCGATCGAGTAATCCATGTGCGGTTTGTCCTCTTCTAGGACTATCTCTTGACCCGATTCGGTTAATTCCTGAAGGTGTCTCATCGCCCGCGTGATCTGTACCTTCGGGCAACCTGGAAGCCTGGTTTTGATCAGCTTTGAGGCAATACCGTGTGCGCTCCAGCCGATGCGATTCCGTGCCGCGAGACGGAAAATGTAACTCGTGTCTGGTTTTAAATCCCTCATCAGGTAAAACTCGTGGTCGATGTTCGAGCCAACGTCTATCCATTCGAGCGTGTCGGCTTCCTTGTACTGGAGATTGTAGCATAACACAGGGGAGTTACCATCGTACTTTGGTTGCTTCCATCTCAGGAGTATTTCCGTGTCCGAAACTTCGGTAAGCTGGAATAGAAACGTTTCTCTTATAGTAATATATGTGACAGAGGGTGGAGAACGTTGATACACTGGGTGGAGGATTGTCACGGTTTAAGGATGAATTGGCTATACAGTCAATCCTAAAAGTTTATGCACTTTAGAAACGCATTTTTTAAAAAGAAATTAGACGTCGGAAGAACATTGCTAATAATAAACAACAAAAAAAAAATTTTCGATTTTTCCGAGATTTTTCCAAGGGGTACCCCTTCAATTTCTTCCAAAATTTCGTTTTTCCTCAATAACTCCTAAACCCTTGGAGATACGTAAAAATTGCATTAGATCTTTTTTGTAGAGCATGACGAGATCTACAATTTCCATGTAAAAATTATTTGCTAGCTTCAATAGTTTACGAGTAATTTGCAAAAAACTGTTTTTTCGTTTTTCGTTAATAACTCGTAAACTATTAATGCTAGCAACAAACTTTTATATGGAAATTGTAGATCTCGTCGTCCTCTACAAGAAAGGTCTCATGCAATTTTCCCGTATATTCAACGGTTTAGGAGTTATTGAGGAAAAACGAAATTTTTTTCCAAAAGTTCGCCGTTTCGACGGTGGAATGGTCGGATTTTGTCAACATCAATAAAATGCCATATAATCATATGTAACTCATTAAATATCGAAATTAGAAGAAAAACAACTTTTATTTGAAGCATTTTTCGCAATTTTGAAGAAAAAAAAAATTTTCGTCAGCGTCAATACTTAATTGGATATTTGCTTCTATACTTTTTAACACGTAGCTATTTATTATTAGCATTATTCTTCCGATTTCTTTTTAATTATAGGAAATGCGTTTTTCTAAGGTACTTTAAACTTTTGGGATTGACTGTATAGCCAATAAATCCTTAAGTACGGTAATGCCTGTTTTCAAGCCCTGATTGATAGAAGTAAGAATTCTTTACGTACGTCAGGCGAGTCAGGACCCGAGGGGACGACAGCTTCCACCAATCTCGTTCTGACCACAGTTTGCCCTATGGTGTTTCTCGCTACGACTTTGTAGCTTCCTACATCGTGTTCCTTCGTCGGGTTGAAACTAAGAATGGATCGGCCATCCTGGTCCTCGGTCACTTTTATTCTATGGGTTTCCTGAATCATCAAATCGTTCTTGTACCACTGAATCACCGGTTTAGGGCTGCCCACAGCTAAACAAGCCAGATACGCGGGCTTTCCGGGCTCGATCGGTTTGATCTGCGGCTTTTCACGGAAGAATGGCGGGTGTCCCTCTTTCTTCGACTCCAACATTGCCTCCGCCTCCGCGTAACTGTCCAAACGGGTTCCCAATTCGTGTTTCAAGCGCCTCAAGGTGAAGGTATCCGGCGAACCGTATCTATTGATCCTCGCTCGCCTCTCGTCGTCGATTTCTTCGTCCATAACGTCAGTGAAACGACGACGTTCCCTTATAATAGGCGTCTACAACGAAACGTCAAATAATTAAATGATTTTTAAGAATGATAAGTGATGTTCTCGTTGCTCGTAAGTTTACCCTCCAATCGAAGTTTTCATCGGCAATGGTACGAGAGAATCCGGGGCTACGGTTGCAAGCAACTTTCATGTACTCGCGTAGACGAACAGGGAAGTCCGTGTCCCGAAGTTGAAGGAGATAGGTGTCCGGTCCATTTTGGTAGCTGAAAGATTTTATTCATTTTTAATCAGTTTCTACAACATACAGGAATGACGAACTGGCAGACATTTTTTACGGCCCTTGACTTTACATCGATTTCACTGACCATTGCTCCATTCTTTTATGTCCAATTATTCGGAAATGATAGAGCCAGGTTTTTAATTGGTATAAGAACGATTCCTGCCTGACGTAGTGGTTCGTCACCCCTGTTCTAGAATATAACAGGTTTCAAATTTCTCGATACTCACTGACTCTCACTCTTGATGATGCCAATCTCCGTGTCGATCGGTTCTCTCGTTGGGTATTGGTTTTCCCAACCTTTAGGCGGAGGTCTCTTTATGGGAGTGTACGGCCTGTCGTCACTTGGCTCAGGAGTATATTTGTGGCCAGGTGGATAAACCATTCTCGATGGGTGTTCGAAGGCCGTCTCCAGCTTGCGTCTGCGGAACCATGTCCTGCAGGAAGCGTTGTTGTACCAATCGCTGAAACAGAGCACAAGTAAAAATTTAGAAGAATCTGTTCTTCCCAGGCCGAAATAGTAATTTTTTAAAATTATATCTGATATTTCAAAGATGAAAGACTATTTTAAGTTACGCGATTTTGAATATCGAATATCTAGTTACGTTATGCTCGTGCAATTTTAGTGGACAGCAACCTTTAGATTTTCAACGAGTGATTAATTAGTTACTAACCGATAGAGTTTGTAATAATTCTTCAAATTCTCCGACGGGATTTTGTACAAATCGGTCGGAGATCTATCCGCATACGTTAGCCAAGGATGAGCGAGGGCAGTCGAGACATCCATTCGCCTCTCGCAGTTATACATTAACAGCGAACGAATGAAATCCTTGGCTTCCTCGGAAATGTTTTTCCAGCGATCATCGAAATCCCACTTTCCTTCCCTGATCTTCATCAACGTCTCTCGATCGTTGTTACCCCGGAACGGTGAGATTCCCGAGAGCAGGATATACGTAATGATTCCTACACTCCACATATCCGTGCTGAACGATACTCCTTCGTTATTGGTCACTTCCGGCGCGACGTACTCGGGCATGCCGTACCCCAATGTCATCAGCTTCGTCGGTGTTATTCTCCTGGCGAGGCCGAAATCGCAGATCTTCAGATCATCGCCACCCGTGTGCGAGATCAATAGATCTCCGAGCTATAAACACGTCAAACATTTTTGTAATTAATTTCTGTATGGAAATAATTCGCGCAAGAGCATACGAAGAGATTAACCGTTAATCCAAGATGAGCGTAATGATTATTATGCATGTAATCCAATCCCCACAGTAGTTGTCTGATATAACCAGCGATCTCCGATTCGGTGTAATAGGCCTGCTTCGTCAAAGTGTCTACCAGATCGCCACCAGCAGCTCTGTTTGTCGGTTAAGAAATATAATGATATGTGTTTTATAACAACCATCAGGTTTTATAAACTCAACTTTGCCTAACAGGATTTGAAAACAATTATAAGTAAGCATTTGTTTTAAAGGATACAGTTCCATGACCAACGTGACAGATACATCGGTCTCATAAGCGTCGTGCAGCCTCAACAGCTTCCTGTGATTCAAGTCGTTCATTATGTCTATCTCGTTGTACATGAACGGCCTGAGCTCGCCCTTTCCATGCATTATCTTGGCCGCGTAGTTCTTTCCGGTGCTCCTCTCCACGGCGTGATAGGTGACGCCCTGGGTGCCGCGACCCAGTTCGTCGCCGAGATCGTACAGGTCGCTGTACGGTCTGTCGCGACGAGGTCTGATGTCTGACTTCCTTCTGTACGTTCTGTACCCGTATTCCATCTCGTTCTCCTCCACGTGAAGCATCACCGAACAGGAAATGGAACCGGCCACGTTCCTTGCGCTCACGGAGTACAGACCTTCGTCCTTCACAATTGTGTCGTTAATTATCAGAATGGTTGTATCCGGTTCGTGGAACTCGATCTAAAAAATTTAAGCGCTCATGGTTAATGATAAAGATGAAGATTCTTTAAACAACGTACAGTGAAGTACATAAATATTCGTATAAATTTTAAAATTGAGTTACTTTTTAACATTGAATGTAAACAAAAATTAATTCGTCAACTGCAATGTTAAAAAAGATAATTAGTTCTAAAATTTATACGAACATTTAGTTCGCTGTATTTAATTTAAAATGCGACGTACTCTTATTCTCGAGGAAGAGGTGAGAGGCTTCCAATCCTTGTACCATTTAATCTCCGGGAAGGGAACACCGGTGACGCGAGCCATCAGCTGTCCGGTTCTCCTAATCATCACGATAGCTTCTTCCGGTCTTTGGATGAACGTCGGATACTCGGCTATCTGCAGCCGCACTTTTTGCCTAGCTTCGCCGTGCTCGTTAGTAGCAACCGCCTCGTATATTCCCTCGTCCCTCTCCAGCATTCTGTTAATGAACAAAGTAGCTTGCCCGTTCCTAGTGTAACTCTGGTCGTATCTGCCGCCGGACTCGATCAGTTGATCATTGAAGAAATAAGTCATCTTCGGTTTCGGGTAACCGTAGACGAACCAGAACAAATTACAGTTGTGATTCTTCACGCCGTATTGCGTGTCGTGTTCCTGGCGAAGGAACCTCGGAGCTTGGGCGTAGTTGTCGTGGGGCGGTCGTTCGATGTCAAAGTCCTTCGGGAAATACGGACTAGTCTCCGGACGGAAATCGATGCCGGGTGGCAGATATGGGAAGAACTTAGGTGGTTCAGGTTCCAATTTCGCGCGATAGGTTTGTGCGAACGGTGACGGGTCGCTGATTCCGTATTTATTCTCCACGCGGATGCGGAATTTGTAGTCACGGAACGGTTCCAGATTGCGGATGTCACAGACGCAGCTACGAATGCCAGTGCGAGCGGTGAACCAGTCGCCGTCTGGGAGCTCGCACATCTCTACTTGGTATGTCACCGGGATTCGGGGTCCGATGGGGATGGATGGTTTCCAGGATAATGTTAGGTGACGGTCCATCATCCTGCTGATGATGGGTCGGTCGGCCAAGGGCAGCGGGACGCCGGATTTTCGATACTTGTCGAAGTCGGCGTACTGATCTCCCAAGGCTTTCTTCGCGCGCGGCTCCAACGCTATTGTAATTGACAATAAAATACGAATCTAATTAATAATCAAGTTTCCCAAAAATTTTTCGTTTCAAATATTGGACATAGTTTCTTAAACTTTTGGTAGAGATCTTACGCATCATACAATATTAATCAGAGTATGCTAATATTTTGTAATATGAGTTTTATAAAATAGATCTAAAATCGTAGTTACAATGCCTTTGTTTATAAGTAATTTTGTCAAATGTTAGAAGAATAGTCCTTTGAATGTATCATGCAGATACTTACATTCATAAATCAAATCCGCGCTGCAAGAATCTTCACCGTGGGGATTCGTTATCTTCAGGGTATACTTCCCAGCGTCTAGTTCATCGACGTTTACTATTATCAAGCGCAACAGGCTGCCCTCTTGCTCCATTCTGATCCTGTCAGTCTGCCATATCTTCTCACCGTTGCGGAACCATTCGAATTCAGGTTCCGGGATACCGGTGATGCAGGCCGTGAACTTGGCTGGCATCCCTCTGTAGCATTCGCAGTCGCCGATCCTCTTCATGAACGACGGCGGTTCCATCTTTTGCGCCGATCCTCTGAAATCATGAAATCTCATATAATAAAATTGATACAGTAAATGCCATAAGGTCATAAATGAAGTCAAGACTATTAAACACAATTCGAATATTCAATGCTTTTAAATTATTCAATATTATCATCGTTATTAAAATATCATCGGTGACGTCCACAGAAATAAATGCATCACACATGATTAAACGTTTTAACTTGTCTGTTGTAAATAATATTTCACCATAATATGTAATCTATAATAAAAAGTCATGTTGGCAATATGGGAATTTATGTAAAATTAGGGCGACATTTGACCTGTTAATAGTGTAACACGTCGCCTTGTATAAAAGAAAATGGGACTTACATCTTGTCGACCACCGTCAAATTGGCAATGCATTCAGCCTCGCCTGCCTTGTTCACCGCCCTGCACTTGTACATCCCGGAATCGTCGTAATTACAATCCTTCACGTACAAACAACAAGCATCACCGTCCTGTTTGATTTTATACTTGTCGTTATCCTGCTCGATCAACTTGTCATTGAAGTACCAAGTTATATCCGGTCGTGGGACACCGCTGACGCGAGCTAGGAACTTCGCATCGAAACAGGGCACTTGTTGTAGATCCGAGAATCTCAACAGGAAGTTTGGCTCCTGGAAGACCTTGCGAACGTTGGCCGTAGATTTGGTCGTGTCCTCGCCGAGCGGATTCGATATGCGACACTCGTATACGCCAGCATCTTTCGGCACGCAAGGATTTATTTCTAATTCTGTTTTCTTTCCGTCGCAAGTCACGGTTACGCGGTCGGACGTCTCCAGGGGGGCACCGTCTTTGGACCATTTCACGTCTGGGAAGGGATTACCGTTGAAGGAAGCGGATAGGTTCAATGGCTGGCCTTCTTCACCGTAAACGTCTCGCATCGGGTTCACGAAACTGGGCTTCTCTTCCGCTTGGTCGGGCTGCAGCTTGCTGAGGATGCTGAGCGTGCCCTTGCAGTTGGAAGTACCTTCCGTATTTCCTGCTATCACTTGGTACTCTCCAGCGTCCTCCGGTGTCACGTTCTCGATAACCAATGCCTCAGTTCCATCTGGTAGACTGACCAGTTTTATACGTTGACCGTCGGGTATTATCTGAAAATATACAAGGATTTCTCGATATGTTGAGTCGTTAATGTTTTTTTAATTACTTTTAATTAATATTCTTAAACAAACCTCTTCGCCATTCTTGAACCACTGCAGTTCAGGCTTTGGTTTCCCGAGAACTTTCACCTCCATTTTCGCTGGGAAACCTTCCATGACGGACAGCGGTTGAAGGGTGCAGACAAACTCCGGTCGTTTCTCTTTCTCCTCGACTTCGACCTTCGCAGAGCTTTCACATTCGCCGAGCGCATTGGAAACTGTCATCGAATAAGTGCCAGCGTCTTCCGGACGGACGTAGTCGATCCTCAAACCGATCATACCGTTCGGTTCGTTCATGAAGTAAACTTCTTTGCTTTGTCGCAGCGGTATGCCGTCTTTGAACCATTGCACTTGCGGATTTGGGAACGCGACCACCTGAGCTTCCAATTTCAACGGCTGCCCGACAACCGCCTTGGTGTCCTCCAATGGTTTCGAGAAAGATGGCTTCCTCCTTTGAGCTGCAAGAAATAGCAACGTTTAATAATGATACTTTATTAAGCGTTATTATGTGTACACGTATAATACGTAAATAATATAATTAATAAAAAGAAAACAGTAGATTAGACAAAAGAGACAAAAACAGTAAAAAAATAATGTTCGTCTAATAATATTAACCGTGAACGAAGCCCTAAGCAACTAGGCTCAAGGTTCTCTTTTCATTGTTGTCTAATATAATTGTAAAATGTTTTATTGAGTCAATCTATTTTGAAGAACGAACTTACGTTTGACAGCGACAGCGCACAAAGAAGAGTGTTCACCAGTAGGGTTGATAATAACCAGTTTGTAAGCACCGCAATCGGTCGGTTTCACGCAGTCGATCGACATTTTAGTAGCGCCGTCCGGGAGGATTTCGATCTTAACGTGGTCATCCGGGACGAGCTTCTCGCTGTCTTTGTACCAAGCGATTTCCGGCATAGGACTACCGTCAACCTTCGCTTTCAATTCTAGACAATCACCCTCATCGACTTCCGTCGATTTCGGCAGCGTGGCACCGAACATCGGCGTGATCATTTGCATCTTCACATCGCAAGCTGTTTGAGAACTTCCAGCGACGTTCGTCGCTTGACACTTGATCTTTCCGACGTCGCTTTGAGAGAAGGTTTTGATGGAATAGGTGCTGTCGACGATACCGTCGACGTGCGTGGTGATCGTATGCCGATCGTCTTCCTTGATCTCGCGATCATCTTTCAACCACATTAACGTCGGTCTGGGTATGCCGGATACGCGAATTTTCAGCTCCAAATCGTCGCGATCCTTGCATTCCACGTTGTTGAGAGATTTCAGGAAGAGCGGCGTTTCGGCTGAAAGTTAAATGTCCAAACTAGAATTTTTTCTAAATTCTAGTTACTAGCTTGTTTTTCACACAATTTTATGTATTTTATAGAAATTGTGAGGTGAATAGAAATTAGGAAACCATATCGTCAGACTTATGACAGAGACTTACTATGCGTGGTCAAAGTTGCCTGAGCGTTTGCTTCGCCTAAGTAATTCTTAGCGTCTACTCGATAAGTTCCCTTGTCGTCGACCTCGACGCTTTTGATGATGAGCCTGACTTTGTTCTCCCTCTTATCTTCCTCGAACTCGAATCTGTCTCCCTGTTGGAGAACCGTGCCATCGTCCTTCGTCCACGTGACGTCCGGTCTAGGGTTTCCTTTGATGATAGCTTCCCACGTGAGAGACTCGCCAACGTTCGAGACAACGTCTTTCAATTCGCTAATTTCAGGACGCAGCAGCAAATTCAGGAAAGCCTAGTTAAGGGAGGTGAATATTATTAGTGGATGTACAACGATGAATTAATCCTTATCACTCCAACCGGCAGCATCGTTGTCAGGATTTTTTAAATTTTCGTATTATTGCGTTTAATACTTCTTAAAATATCTCCTATCATTTTTTAGTAATTTGTTCAATTATTTAATTGTAATAAGAAATAAATATTATTCTTTCATTTAATGGTTTTGATAAGATAAATTTCTCTCGTATTGATACTAACGCTGGCTTCAGCTTCGCCGTATTTGTTCTTCAGCTTCAATGTGTATTCTCCAGTATCGTCACTCGTGGATTTCGGCACTTTTAATTTTGCCGTTGTTTCTGTAAGCTTGTCCTCTATTGGTTTGTGCTCAACGGTGAACTTCAGCCGACTGTCGTCCATTGGAATCTCCTCACCCTTGAACCACCTTTTCAAAAAATTAATATAAATCATGAACAGAATTTATTTTGCGTTTCTAAGTAACAGCATAAAAAAAAATTGCAAATTTATAGAATTTGTATGGAGTGGAGGAAGGAGCGCTTAAAAGAAGAGTAACGTAAAGGGCAGGTTCAAGCTGTACAGCTTAATCTAAGATTTGAATTCGCTTACCATGTCATTTCGGGTTTGGGATCAGCGGTGAAGATCGCCTTGAATTCTCCGGAGTTTCCTTTGGCCACATTGATGTCTTCCAACGGTTCGATGAACTTTGGCCTTCGAAGTTCGTCGACGGTGCTGACTGTCAAGTAGCCCTCGGCCGAGGCCTCGCCGAGTTTGTTGGAAAATTGACACGTGTACACACCCTCGTCCTCGAGGATCGCCTTCTTTATCTCTAACGAGAAATTCTCTCCAGCGGAGGTGAGCCTGAACCGATCCCCAGCCCGCAATGGTTTCCCATTTTTGAACCATTTCGCGTCGGCCCTCGGCAGACTGGTGGCCTGGATCTCGAACAGGACCGTCTGAGTCTCGTAGATCGTTTTGTCGGTGAGAGTCGTGTGGACTATATGCGGAGGAGCTAATCAGAAAAATCGAGGATCGATCAAATCGCTTCTCATAAATCGATCGATGATCTAAAAAACCTTGGTTCTATTTGCCGTGCATCTAGTGCCTCGTTTGCGCTTGCGACGTGCTGCTTTGGTTACTTTATACATCTTTTCACTTCAGATGCTAGACTATTTTGTCGTTCTGCTATATTTTGTATGCTGTCGAACACTGAGTGCACTGATTAAAATTCAGTAAACATGACTTTTATATATGCATAAGAGTCTGCAGTCTAATCAACATCTTATTAAATTGAATTGTCTAGCATCCTCGGTTCCCGCTTACCTGATCAAAACTGAAGAAATCCTTTAATTAGTCGGGATTTACCACTACCTCTCTGTGTACGTGTGTGTTCAAGCGGTAAGTGTGTTGAGCCGAGAAGCGCTAACAAAATTTAATACATTCCTCTTGATTAAACGTTTTAGCACGATCGATTATCTGATTCTTTGTTTGTCCTAAATGATTCTTGATTAAACTTCGTTAAGCGCTTCGTCAAGTGTTAACATGCAGAGGCGACATGTACAGAATGATACAGATGATTAACACGAAATGGGAAAATACGATTACAAATAAACAGACAAGAGGGGGGAGGTGGAAAACAGAGATAGTCGTGCTGATGTAGAAGCTGAGATCTTAAACCTTAGACCCTAGGACCTTAGTCGACCTGCAAGAACGACGTTCGAGCAGCCGATGGAGTCAATCCTAGCCGTACCTGAATCCCTCGACGATTCCTTTTCAAGGATATCGCCTAGAACGCTGCGCTGTCGTTTAACGCGATCTAGAAGAGCCTCGAGCTCTTCGTCCACTTCCTCGTCGCCGCTTTGTACAGCCCTCGATGCGCTCTCCCTCGATATCGACCGTTCCAACACCTTCTTCGACTCCGTCGAATCCATTCTCTCTATCTTAGAACTCTGCCTCGAAAAACCGTTCTGCAAGGATCCTCGACGACTTTCTGATAAATCCTTCTCGACGACCTTCTCTGCGTTTATCGAATTCACTCGTTCCACTTTGTGCTTCGTCAATTTGCTCTCTTCTATCGTCGCATTCTGCGGTTGTTCTAAATCAACGACAGAAGACTTCCTTCTTTCCTGAGTTCCGTTCTCGATGACAGCCGACTGCTGCGGCTGCTTCAAATCTACCTTCGTCGGTTTTTCTGACGGATACGATTCTTCCATCGATCGTTCCTCGATTATCGTTTCTGTCAATAACGAGGGCTTGTAGGGTACGGGCTCGTCGGGCGTTACCTCGTCAGCTAGGCGTCCGTTGAACTCTTCGTAGGACCCATTCATCAGCTTTTGATCTTCGGATAAATCAGGGCATTGGATATTTTCCGTGCTGACGTCGCGCGAAATACCCTTCAGAGTTGAGTCGTCGTCGGAAACCGAAACGATCGACACTCCGCGATTTACTTCAATTTTCGCTGGATTGTCTTCACTGTGCTCGGAGTATTCTTCGATCAGCATGCCGTTCTGCGGTTTCTGGTTCACCGCCTCCTCTTGCACGGTGTAACTGTACGTGGCGATCTCCTCGATCCCCGGACTGTCCGTGTTCAACTCCTGGCACTCGACCTTAGTCGCGGTCATCTTGCTGATCGTATGGCTCTCGTCGGGACCTGCGAACGCTTGGGCTTGATCACGCGTGCCTATTTCCCGGAGTTTAAAGCCCGCAGATGAGCCTTGATGAATTTCTGCCCATTCGCCTTTCGCCCCGTTGCGACGCGTCGTTATTTGCTCTTAGCTCTTTGTTTTTAAAGATTCTGCGACTGACCATTTTTGTTCGTAATACAACTTCCTAACTAACTCATGATAATGAAAACTCAACTTTCAAATGTGTACGAATATTTACGGATTTCACTGTATATCGAGCAACAATAATAATGACGGCACTACTTACTGATTTGCATGGAAAACTTGAAATAGTTAATATGTTTTAATATTGTTTGGGTCAGTCGAACAATCTTTGCGTACGACGAATGGTTACGATGAGACGGCGTTGTGCGTGTGCGAAGTACGAGATTTACCTGTGAGTATAGCTTCGTGGGTAGTCGTGGAGGCCACGGAAATCGTGATCGTGTCACCCTGGCCACGCGTCACTTGAACGTTTTGTTTCTCCAGTCTCACTCGACCTGAATTTATGCAGACATGGTTGTTTTTGCTACCCTCTACGATTAATCAGCCGTTTCTACTTTAATCTCGAGGCAAGGCTACTCCGTACCATTTCATATCTTGCCTCGTCATGTTATGAACAACGTTAAGCGTCTGTCGCGAGGATTTCGGTGAATTACAAAAAGATAATGAATTATGTTTATGTATGCTCGATGTTAACGAGATAAATGATAGTGAAGCAAACGCAAAACTTCGCTTCTCTACTATCCAGTCAAAAAAGGAAAAAGAGACAGTTTTCTTAAGGTTGTATGAGCCGTAACGTAAAAATTTCAATGCTTCGCCATTGTTTTTTATTTAAGGGCTCATACAACCTTGAAGACAGCGATCAAAAAAACGCGATGCGTTCCATGCCGAACGTCTTCTTACCAAAATCTTGCGTCGATCGTAGTACACAGATACTATAAAGAGCTCTCAAGCGTACTCATAGCAGACCCGACTATAAAAATACTTTTCTTCTCTGCTATACAAGTTCAGCTTATTCTTCGGTACAATATTTACTATACTACAGCGTTATTCACGCTTTTATACCGTCTACGATTAGATTACCTTCCGGTCCCGATTCCTCCGCGCGTTCCTCATTCTTTTCGACCTCCTGCTCCTCGACTTTCTTCGCCTTCATTTCTTCCTCATCGACGCTGACCTTTTCTACAGTCTCCTTCTTCAATTCTTCGACCTCTTCCGTTCTCGCTATAGAATTCACACATTTCCTTTTTTGTACAAGGTACACAAGGTATTAAACGACGACGGTACGGTATAAAAAAAGGGCTGATAATTAACACATGAAAACGTGTGCATTCGCACATAGGCACATACGTCGTAAGAATGGTTCGTTTGGGTTTTGTTCTCGCAGGAAAACGTATAATACACGAATCAAACAATATGCAGTAGGACACGAAACATAGTGACACGAACAGTTGAATCACGTTCTTTCACGCGGTTTGTGAAGTTTAAGGATGTATTGGCTATACAGTCAATTCCAAAAGTTTATGTACCTTAGAAAAACACATTTCACATAATTAAAAAGAAATCAGACGTCGAAAGAACGAGTTAAGTGCAGTTAATTGGCATTTTATTGATGTTGACAAAATCCGACCATTCCAGCGTCGAAACGGCGAACTTTGGACAATACTTTTCCTTTTTCGTTAATAACTCCCGAACGGATGGTCGTAGGGAGACGTTTGTGGTCTCATTTTGTAGGGGACGACGAGATCTACAATTGCTGTGTAAAGAGAATTCGCTAGTGCCAATAGTTAACGAGTTATTTGCAAAAAACGAAAAACAGTTTTTTGCAAATTACTCGTGAACTGCTGATGCTAGCGAGAAACTTTTATATAGAGATTGTAGATCTCGTCATCCCCTACAAGAAAGGTCGTATACGATGTACCCCTTGGAAAAATCTCGGAAAAATCGAAAATTTTTTTTGTTGTTTATTATTAGCAATGTTCTTCCGATGTCTGATTTCTTTTTAAAAAATGAGTTTCTAAAGTGCATAAACTTTTGGGATTGACTGTATAGCCAATACATCCTTAAGATTGTTCTGACTACATATGATTAAACTGACACGTAAAATTTGAAACACGTGTCACTATTTTAGCCAGAACAACCTTAAAAGGATTTTAATACTCCTATTTGATAAGAGTTCACATTCACAGTGAATCGAGTAAACGAAGAACAGTGACAATCGAACACGAGACCGTACCTTGGCTACTTACTGAACTGAATAGTTGTAAAATTATATGCAGGACGTTTCGCTGGCAAGTTTCTTAAAATATTAGAATACGGGCATACAGACACGTTTGGTGAGCTGCTACATTAATTCTCTTAAGTTTCGGAAAATTCGATCCAAAGTTTTCACTGATTTTTTTCTGACTAAATCTGAAGCTAATTGTTTTTACAGGTCAGGTAATATCTTCAGATATCAAGGAATTTTAAATGGTTTATATTAAAATGAATTGTTAAAAAGATGTAGCAGCGCAACAATCGAAGCTGCCGCAGTTTAATGTTAACAACAATTGAATTCTTACTCATTATTATGACTTTGCTCTTGCTGGTGACATATCCTAATTCGTTCTCCGCTCGAACCTCGTACACGCCACCGTCCTCTCCTTTCACCATCGTCACCGTTAGATTGTAGCTCTCCTTTCGTTTGCTGTCCCTCGTTATCTTGATCCTCGCGTCGGCCGTCACTTCCTGTCCATCCTTGAACCATTTCACTTCCGGATCCGGTGTACCGGACACCTCGAATATCAGTTTCATCGTGTCGCCCTCCTTGATTCTCAGATCGCTCAGCTTCTTCAACAGTTTCGGACGTGTTCTCACGATCAACGACGAGCTGGTCTTCACTTCGCCGTACTCGTTCTTTAACGTACAGGTGTACGTTCCTTTCATCTCTGCCTTGGCTTCGGAGATCAACAGCGTACAGTTGTCACCCTCCTCCGAGCGAGTGTACTCCTTCTTCTTCTCTGTGATCTCTACATCGCCGATGTACCAGTGGACGCTCGGCTTCGGGCATCCGTCGAACTCGACTTTGAATTCGATGTCCTTGTCGCCTTCCGTCACCGTGACGTCGCTCATCTTCGTCCTGAATCGCGGCAAGCCTCGTACCTAAAGAACAAATGTAAAAAAACAATAAAGTGAAATGATTCATATTTTGGTTTACGTGGTCCTTGCTAACGTTTGCTATACAGTAGCTACGTCACTGTCACAATTTTAAAGTATTTGGAAAACTTACTTGAATTTTAGTATCGTCGGATACAGTGCCATGATCGGACGACACTTCCGCCTTATACTCTCCCGCATCTTCACTGGCAATACCAGTAATCTTCAAGATGAACTTTTTGCCCTCTCGAGTCATCTTGATGCGGCTATCCTCGAAGATCTGTTCACCATCCCGGTACCACTTGATACCAGCCTGCATTACAGAGTCCACCTCCACGGACAAGGTTAACGTCTCGCCTTGGTCCAAGATCTGTGCTTCGCCTATTCCCTTCGTTATCTTCGGCGGGCTGAGCACCTTCAGCTTCCAAATCTCCGTCGTCTGGTTCACGTCGTTCCGCGCCACGATCGAATAAGATCCGGTATCATCCAACCGACCACTTTTTATTATCAGCTTGTAGGTCTCGCTATCCTCTTTGATTATACTGACGCGATCGTTCTCTCGAATCTCCTGGCCGTCTTTGTACCACTTCACTTCAGGCGCGGGGGTGGCCTCGATCTGCACCATCATCGTTATCGTTTCCTCGACCAGAACAGACAAATCGGTTTGCTTCTTGATGATCTTCGGTGCGGATTTGACGATCAGTTCGATCTGGGTTGTATCCTCGCCCAGCTCGTTCTTCGCTCTGATGGTATACACGCCGGCGTCCTTCGCTGTGACGTTCTTTATCACCAACGACATGGACTCCTCGTCCTCCCAAAGGTACTTGTATCGACCTTTACCAATGATCTCCTCGCCGTCTTTGGTCCATTTAATATCCGGCTTCGGATATCCTCTGATTTGCAATTCTAGCATCGCAGAACCGCCGGCGCTGACTTCCGAGTGTCTCGCTTCCGAGCACAGTTTCGGCTTTTCTGGGTCTTTCATGAGTTGATTAACGGCACCCTGAACGGTCAACTCCGCGCTGCAGCTGATATTACCTGTATATTACATTAAAGTATCACGTTTCAGTATAATTCGCAAAGATTGTATTATAAATATAGAAATTGTACATTATACATAATAAATGCTTAGAAATAATTATATTATGAAAATATATAATAATATTAAAGAATTGTTTCACTCCATCCATTTTATAAAATAATATTTAATAATAAAACAGAAAAAAAGGTCAATGATTAGAAATTGAGACATTTACTATGATAATTAAGTGAGAGAAGTATTATTACCTGAGCTAGTTTGGGCGACACAAGTATACAGGCCAGCGTCTTCGGGTCTCACATGCTGGAACACCAAAGCCAACGTGTCCTCTTCATCCTTGAACAACACCTTGAAGCGGTCCTCGGGGTCAAACTGTTTTCCGTCCCGCAGCCACATGAACCGAGGCTCCATTCCCGGTTCGAGGAAACCCTCGGGTAGGTACAACATCTTCTCATCGGACACGGTGACTTGCGCCTCGCACGATGCCTCGCCATATTTGTTTTTCGCGGTACACGAATATTTTCCAGCATCCTGTTTTTGGACATCAGCGATCACCAACTCGTAGAAGCCCTTGTCTGCTTGTTCGGTAACGATTTTTATGCGTGAGTGGTTCGCGTCGATTGGAACGTCGTCTTTGAAGCTGCATTAAAATGAACGCAATAATTTTCGTCAGGCGAAACGATTTATTTAATTGATATTTTTAATATTTCGTTTTATATAGAGCGAATTATTTTCGTTCGAAAACTCACAACTTCATGTCGGGATTAGGATCTCCCTTCACCTTCACCATGAAACGTAGATATGTGTTTTCCAAGAGTTCAGTGTCCTTCAGCCGTACCAAAAATATTGGCGCGTTTGCTTCCGATCTTGCTTTCTTCTCCTCAGGAGACACTAAACATCACGAACAAGATCTTTTAAGGTAGTTTTATTAAAATGGAAGACATTAGTGATCGTAATCAAGTTGTAGTATCTCATTCTTCACATCGCTAACATCCACGTTAGCAAAAAAATTTTTTAAATACTGAAGCTTCCAGGTATCATTTGAATTTAATGTCCTTACGTTTTTCAACAATGAGCTGAGCAGTGCAAGTGGATTGTCCATCGCTGTTTATCGCTCTGGCAATGTAGATTCCGGAATCCGATTCCATCACGTTCTGTAATTGTAGTTTGAACGTTTTTCCGACCGCGGAAGCTGTTACACGGTCCGCCAATCGGTCGTCCAACGGTTTATTGTCCTTCAGCCATTGCACCCTTGTGGTCGAATCGGTGTTCAACAGGGTACACTCGAAGGTAGCCGCTTCACCAGCTATTTAAATCAATAATTAACAATATTAATAAGAAGGCGAGGATGAGTGGAATGTGGCATGATTTATCGCAGTTTATCTACAGTTGAAAAATTTATATACGGTATGGCACAGTGAAGAGAATCGAAGGATAATCCTAATGGACACAACAGCGACCAAAACTGAAATAACAATTACTACCTTAATTGTATGTGTATAATTTACAACGGGTAATTGTTCTGTTTTATTTGGTCGGTGATGGAAAGCGAGTGACATGGACATCGTCTTTCCTACGAAAAATCTGTGCTGTGTACTATACAAAATATTTAGGAAGAGAGATTCACAAGAAAAATAGCTACTTGAAAAAATACAGACGACGATGAAGCAAATCGTGTTAATGTGACATGTGTGCAATGTGTGAAGTACTATGTAGTATTTGTAATGTGTAGTACACTGCGGAGACTAGTCATGTGAGTGCGTGTAGCCTATAGACAACATCTAATTGTAAGATTAATTATTATCAAGCTTTAATCAATTGCCTAATGTAGAAGCAATATTTTTTCAGCCGGCTGGAAGGAAAAGTAGAAGATGAAGAAGAAAAGAGTACTCGAAAAAGACGGTACGATAAAAAGTACGATAGAAAACAGTGTGCAGTACAGCAGATGATATCGAAATTAGTGAAATTCTGTGTCACTTTACCTACGGCGTGTATCAATTCCAAGTTATTTTCTGGTAACGCTAGAACAAGTAAAAGTCGATTTTATCTATCTACGAATTGTTGACTCTTCTTTATTAGCAGTCTCCAACTTTGCAGTTTTCGCGGTCATTTTCATTCATTTAAAACTACGTAGGCAATATTCTGTGATACTAATGCTTTTGTATGTACAATATTGGATTACTTACGTTCGACATTGGATCCTTCGATTGTTTTGGTGAACACAGGTTTTCCAATTCCGCTTCCAGCCTCAATTCTTCCTGCGCTGGTTCTCGTCTCTATCGAATTGCCAGCTCTGTAGGAAGCAGAACTGGCCTCCATTTTCACCGCGCTGCTCGATGACTCCATGTAACTAGCAGACATTGCAGTCTGACTGCTAGATACTGAAGAATACTCTTCAGGATCAAATAAAGAGCAGAGATTAATTAATAGGTTTACGTGAAACAATAGAAGCATTAACGCAAAACGCTGAAGATTACTTGCCAGACACTAGTAAGAAGCAGTTCAATTAATTTGCAAAGCGAAAATCAATTTAAGATTGTATGAGCCGTGAAATTTCTACCAAAAGTTTAAGAAATGTGATAAGAAGTTTATATTTAATATCATGGTGCAATAAAAAAATTTTTTGCGATATCCATTACGTGATTTTTATAGAGTTTCATGAAACAGAATTGTACTGTCACGTATCGTTTCTGAAAAATAGCGGTTTTTGTCAAAATCACGATTTACGACAACCCAATATTTGAGGACTCATACAACCTTGATAAACACTGTGGAGAAATACTATTTAGATTTGGAGAAGAAGCAGAAGTTATTAAGTTAGGCGATTAATTCGCTAAGAAGTTTCTTTTTTTTGTCATTCGTTTTCTACCTTCGACAACTTTCGAAGAGCTGCTAAATCGGCTAGACGAATATCTTCGAGACATGTCTGCGCTTTCTTCTTCAACTTTTAATTTCTTAGATACAGTTTTACCCGGATTGGCCTCCTTCCTCTTTTCTTCTCCTGGATTTGGATTCGGTCCTGGGTTTCCTTCGACTTTCTCCTGTCCCGGATTTCCTGGATTCCCTGGATTCCCTTCAACCTTTTTCGGTCCCGGGTTGGCCTCAACCTTCTTGGGCCCCGGATTTGCTTCTACCTTTGCACTTGGATTTCCTTTGACTTCTTCCTTCGTTTCTGGCACCTCCGTTAATTGCAGATCGTCGGCAGCGTGTTCGGCGAGCGCTAACACATCGCTCGCGTACTGTCGAATCTCCTTCAACCAGTACGTCTTCACTTGGTCCTTATGAGCTACCAAAGTAATAGGATAAGTGGGATTCGCTGGACAGTGGAGTTCGAAGGTTCGCGCGTCCTCCGGGTGATCCTTCAGTTCTACTTCAGGTAACTAAAATTCAAATTCAATATAAAATCGATGGGCAACAGACATTCTGAACAATCATTATGCAAATCTGTATAAAAATAAAAATAAGAACGTTGCTTACGCGAATGATGTCTTTGAGGATGAAGACGGATCTGTCTTCTGAAATTCGTCTGACCTTGCAGACGAGTATGCGGGCTTTAAAAAGGAACAGATACCTTTCCTTGCTCTTACCGTCCTTGTCGATCACCGTATACCACTCCTATCGATTCAACGTACACAATAATTGCAAACAATCCTATTCTTAGCACACTTTTATATCTAATGATTCGTAATTTACTGACGTGCGTGAGCAATCTGCCAAGCTTATGGATATTCCCTTTGTAACCTTCGATATTACTTATGAATATATTATCTGTAGCTCTGTGGGGTATACCTAGCATCAACTCCAAAGCTTTTTGGAGGTCGTCGCAGTTTTCGCCTAGTCGGGTCGAATACTTCACCAGCTCCTACAAAATTACCCGCGTTTATCAAATATTTATGCTAATTTATACGTATAAAAACTAATTACGCTAATTTATACAGAGTGTCCCTAGAGTTTGGACATAGAAAATTTTATTATAATTTTTTTCTGCCACAGATGTCTTGTCGAGGGAAGAGAGAACAGAATTGGTTCTCAATGGACATAAAAGATGGTCATATCGGAAAATGAATTTAATAGACGTCATCCAAAGAGGACGTCACTTAATGTTCGAATTGAATAAAGTGTTGCTAATGATGTTCATTTCATAAATTTCTCTAAGGAATAGTTTGCATGAGGGATCGCGTTAACAATTGTTCATTTTAACATCTGTTGTCTTTCTATCATATAGGAATGGATAACGCGTCGCGAGGATGACCCGCTTTTAGCTCGCTAAATCGGTACTAAGGCGGCGCCCACTCGTTCCAACACTACGAAATTTTCTGTCCCGGCATTGCAACTATAATTTTGTCACTTTCCTTTATGTGATCTCTATATCTTTCCTGTAGATCTGTAATGTAGAAACGAAGTTAAAAGAGAGACTGAAAAATACGACGGGAGAGCTAAAATAAGACTTCACAGTCTAATCTAAAGAGAAATTTAATTCATTCAATGGGCTTTAATTGTAAAACTGTTATAGTGATCTTGAACTTTAATGGCATGTTCGAGAGGATTTGAAAAACAGATTCGCACAGCTGCGTTTTGTTTTCAACAGCTTTATACTCGATGGCAACGAGCCCAGGTTAATTTGTAAAGTTTAAAGACTTGTAAATACATTCTGTACAAATTATAGTAATAATCTCCTTTCATTAATCAAAACTTTTTCATTCATCTCTGTTTCTCTCTTTTTTAATTTTGTAAATAGCAGAAATTTTTTTATGAAAAGCTAATTAATCCTTCGGCACGCGTTTTCAAGGCGAACCGGCAAATATTTTAGCGCCGAACTATTTTTGTCTTGACAGAACGAAATTTTACCGCAGATATAGGTCACGTGCAGATTCTACAGGTCGCCGTGTCTCTCCGATGTAGCGCGAAAATTTTTTACGGTCTCCCAAAAATAATGTAGAAGGACGTTTTTGAACTACGAGTGATTCAGTGTTCCTATTGTTGCAAAACAGATGACATTACAGGAAGATTATAGCGATTTAAGTTCTTAGCCAAATTTCGTTAGTCATCCACTTTCTCTAAATTCACGGAGCACCAAATTTCCGCGAAATAAGGCAAATGTCCCAATCTCTTCTCATTGGCACATTATGGCACAAATATGGACATTAGAAGTATGTACTTCAAGCCTTCATTTTACAGGAAAAATCGACTGTAAATAATTCTGATTCTGTGTGATTCATCTGAATGCATATTAAACTCCACATGTGAAAGTACTATCACTATAAATTCTGACTTATACATCGTGTTTTACGTTCAGTTGATAACGAAATCATGCTTAGCTGAGGACACTTGCCTTACCAGTTAAAAATCACTGATCTAAACCATCTGATTGATCAACCATGTGTTTCGACCAAACGTTCGGTAAACGAATTCGTTCAAAGGAAAATTGCGATGACAGAGACAATGGCAATTAAAGGAAGAGAATGCATCTAGCGAGTCCTATCAAGTTTCTGAGACAAGTTCGCAGGATGATTAGTGTTCGCGGGTGGCTCGTGCACAACTGCTGGAATGCTTTCAAAAGATACACGGCACGGCACGCTGTATTTCTGTCATAACACCCTTGAAATGTATTTTTGACCCGGCGGCACTGTTAATAATTTTTCACCGGATGGACCGAACGATTTTATAAACCGTTGATCGAGGGGAACGAAACTTTTTTAACGAGACGACTCACCTTAAGTAGGAGCTGATAGTCGTTTATGCGTTGTATCGGAAGCTTCAAGTGCTCCGATAAGCTCTTGTCGTCATGGAGAGTCTGGCTCAGCTCCTGTAAATAATACACGAAATTTAGAATATCTTCTGTTTGTTTTACGTGGTTCCGCGTTCGCAGTTTCAAGAATCCAGGCACCTTGAACCTATCGCTCGCGTATTCAAATTTTATGCGATTATATCATAAAGTATGCTCAAATAGCGAAGCGATAAAGTAGAACGCAAATGGTACCACTAAAATGGCCAAAAATATGGGTTGTACATCAAAGTTATTTACTATATTATCTATAAGTATTACTTTTTTTAAAAGTTTACAGCGTCAAATATTGAACATAACTTTTTATCACACTTCTCAAACTTTTGGCAGAGATTTGCGGCTCACACAACCTTAAGATCGTTTTTTAATAGTAGAAGAGTGGAATTTTCCCATCGCAGAATAGAGAATTCTTCGCGGCCGTGCGTAATTCGACACCGGGATGAAGAAACGCGTATTTTTGGATGCGACTGGATTTTCCACGCAATTGATCAGCCTAGATAAAATTCTAATAATGACACACAGCTCGATAATATGTATGACACTCTAAAAACTAACCGATGTCACAAAAATGCATTTGATTAACTTAATAAGAATTTTCAGATGTGGTCAACAATTTCTTGTACTTGTAATTGGTATCTAGCATTATCAGAAATTCCAAACGAGATTGTCTATAATAACAATCACACTCCCACTGTAAATTAAAACCGAACAGTCGACGAGATTAGAAAGCTGTCACTATACAAAACACAGTAAACCAATTCTAACTTTTAAGCCACTATAAAAATGGTCGATGTTTAAAAAAACTGAAAATCCTTCGTTTACCGAAAAGGAGAACCCGAGGGGGGCTACTGCGAAGATAACGGAACGATGCTTGATTAAATCAAGAAAAATATTCACATAATAAAAAATTGATAATGGGGTGGAGGGGTTGACGCACCTCAACTGAGGTCAAGGGAGGTAAACACTGTCGTTGTTCGTGTTTTCAAGTCGTCGGTTCGAAGAGGACACCGTGGCTGATCGCAGACTGGATCTTTTCCGGCGGTTCTCTTATTCCTCGAGGTGGATCCACAGTCGGTGGTTACCGAAAAACACCAGCCGCGAGAGACCAATACGGCAACGGCTATACTTAGACGCCGGACTCGAACTCGTGGACTGACCACGCACAAAAACAAGAACCATAATCCTACCGATCGTTCGTATGCTCTGATCCTGATCCTGATCCTGACCTCATTACAGACACCCCTAATCTTCATTTCATTCGACATACACTGCACTAAATTATTAGGTCATTGTAATAGATTGAACTAAAATTATAATACAAATGTTTACATTTTATGGTAAAATCTTTTCATGTATACATCCCTGGTTTCTAACATTCCTTTTACAAGCTGTTGTATTCCGTTAACTTATTCTTTATTAAGAATGGTGCAATTTGTGCAATAACACGAATACTATAGATTTATGTTGACAATGAGTGAGTTATCGTAAAGTTCGAAAACAAAATGCACCGAATTGAGGGTATACGAGATATAATCCATAATAGATTCCGCGTCCGAGTGGTGGGGATTAGAATTCATAAGGGTAGCAATTATTAGGATTAGAGGTTGAGAATGACAAGATTAAAATGATGATTAAGAGAATGATAAAATGATTTTAGAGACTCTTATCAGAAAATGACTGGTTTTGAATGGAGAAATGCATGTGTAAAATAGTCTGTAGTTAGAACTACATTAAATATTAATAAAACACTCTTATATGTCCATACAATAATTGTTTCCATTGCTCTTTATCTCTATTTTATACTTTCTCTCAACTTGCTAATTACTACCGCTTCAAAAATATTTTCCTACTTTGTATGCGTATATTAAGAGTAATCGGAAATATTTGATCCTATTATGCAATAAATTGAAAAAATAGTATAGATAATTATTTTAGCATTAATATAATAATAATAATAATAATTATGTATATTTACGCTGAAAATAAGCTCTGGGAAGTCTTGAAATCAAAGGAATGTCTTGACTGCTTTATAAGATGAAAATAAACCATTGATTGGCAAGATAATTTTAAAGGGAAATGCGAAAGATTTTGACGAATGTGGCGCGACTCGGAGTCGCACCAGCTGAGACGGTTTCAGTATGCATTTCGTTTTTTACTCATCGACTGATGTCATCGCGTAATGACAGTAACGATGACGTCGCGGCGTGAATCCGCTTTCTCCGTTTATCTTTTTGGTGTCACGCAAGCTGTCGTTGTCGTAGGTGCGTGCGTAAGTGTAGGAGAGGAGCGAAAGATACAGTTCCGTCCGTTAAGAATAAACCGAGCTATTTCGGGGGCTGGATAGACGCCCGCTCTCTTACCCCCGCCTGTTATATAATTTCCGCGAGATTTTCTTCGATTCATGCGCGAATCGGACCGTTGCAATCATAGAAAGCGATAGAACTTTCTCTCGAATCACATCTCAACTGTGATTTTTCATAGAGCAATAGTTTTTCTATCTATTCAGATGAGCAAAAAAAGTTGAGATTACGGGAGGTGAGAAAGGAGCGCAACATGCCACTATAAATAGGATTTACAACCCTATTAATATTTCTTAAAGTGCGTAAGAGCTATATATAAGACGGACTGGTAAAATTATCATGGATGAATTATGCTCAGGCCTGTCGTGCTTTAATATCGTGGACGCTGGCGTCGCGACGCTAAAGTACAACGAAGGTGGATAGAAACCTTTCTTACCATACCAATATTCCCACAAATTGTTAAAAACAATTCTATTTTGCAAAATCGTAGCATCAACCAATTTCTTATCCAATTCAATAATTAAATGTATAATTATAAATATACAATAATTAATTCTTTATTTAAAATTGCATTAAGTCCATTAACCATTATGCGACTCATATATTCATTAATTTTAATATTACGTTTATTGTTCCACTGGTTATTCCATTAAACGGTTAATAAATTATTTCATTAAGTAATTTACAGAGTATATAATTTAGATAAAATGACTCACCTCGAAATATTCTCGCGCCGCGCTGTTCATCTGGAGAAATTCTTGCGCTTCAGGTTCGTCTCTGCAATAGGCAACATGCTTGTCGAAATCCCTTTCCTGGAATAAGAAACAATCCACAAATAAGGTTACAATAAACGAAAAAATGTTACAGTATTAAAATATCGAATGATGTTCAAACTCACCAGTCGCAGGAAGGTTTTCCCAAGCATACGTGGCTGGTCCGCGTAGTACTTAACACCCTCGATCAACACCCTGCCGAACGATCTAAGTAAGGTACCGATTAATCATCACGCTAAAACACACATCATGCCTACGTGCCGGGGGTAGCCTTATCCTTCCTGGTCCCTCTTTCCCAATGCGACCAATTAGGGATGCGACATAAAAACTTGTGCAAAGTTATTATTACATCGAAATTCTTCATTACTTGTTACAATGTACTTCCTCAACGTTAATTAAATCAGATAATAAAAGTTACATCTAGAGGTGGGTCGTGAAATTATTATTAATTAAATACAGGGACGGTTCAAAATGTAATTTGTAATCTAATCGGGGTTGCGGGAACAAGAATCGAACGTTTTTAAGGATGTATTGGCTATACAATCAATCCCAAAAGTTTATACACTTTAGAAACGCATTTTTTAAAAAGAAATCAGACGTCGGAAGAACATTGCTAATAATAAACAA